GCTTCTCCCTCTGACCCTCCCCCCTCTCATGCTCTCTCTCTCTCTCATTCTCTCTCTCAAATAAATAAATAAAATCTTTAAAAAAAAAAAAATTTTACACATTAAAGTTGCAAAGATGCCATCCTATAGGTTGACCAGTTAAGTTTGTTAATAACAACACTCACCTTGGAAAACTCCCTTCTCCACTGTCCTCAGCTCTTGTTGTTCCAACCAAGCGATCAGCTTAGGTTTCGACAGTTGATATTCTGTCCACAGGAAAAGGCACATTAACAGGAGAGGCTTATGCAAGAGATGACAAAGCTTCCAATGAATCCAAAACTTTATTTCTAATGAAAGCAGAGAAATTATCCCAAAAGGACCAAAAGAGGCAAATACTCCCCTTCTGACAAAAGAGTAGTTATCTCTTAACCCCTGAAAGCCAAATTTGAATGTATGCACGTATTTACAGAGCATAAAGGTATTTATTCAAATCGGAAATAAAGGAGATGAAGAAAGGAGATCTTTGTTCTGATGGGGAAACCACTAGAAGAGTGGCCCTCAAATGTTGGGAGTGCCTCACAATCATCAGGATGGCTTACTGAAACACAGAAGATGGGGCAACAACCCCAGCTTAATAATTCAGAATGTCAAAAGTGGCATCTAAGAATGTAACTTCCAAACAGAGTGATGGTGTTGCTGTTGGCCTCATGGCCACGTTTACAGAACACCCATTGCAGATTATAACCCGTTAGTGTAGGGACTATGCATCTCTTTCTTCCAGTTATGTTCAGAGGGCATCACCAAGGCTGGAAACACATAAAGTATATGACACGTATCTGGAATGTTGGCAGCCTCACCTACTGCGACCAGGTTCTGATAGTTCTCCAGCATCACGTTTCTGTATAGGTTTCTCTGAGTGAGGTCCAGTAATAGCCACTCCTCCTGGGTGAAGTCCACTGCCACATCCTGGAAGGTCACTGCAATCTAAACCATCACACCCATGTTGGCCTGAGACAAGAAACATCTCCACCAATGTTCACGGGAGAATAAGGACAGGAGACTCAATACCTATGCAGGGTTATGAGATTTCTCATTATCCTCCCACGGTTCCATGGTCCTAGGTCCTCTTCTCCCCACCTAAACTCACTCACTGCTCATCTCCACTCATATGGCTTTAATGGCACCTTTTAAGCTTTTGAGCTTATCTCAGCAAAACCGTAGTAGTTGTTATTTCCCTCTATCGCAGTAGACTTCTGAGCACACTAAAGATCCCTGATAAACAGCGCAGAATGACTAAATTCTGTGAGAAAAAGATACTTAACACCTTCCTTACCATGTCAGAGCACATAGCAAAGTGGAAATATGCACCTGGTATCCATGAGGTTCACAGGTGATTAGTGAAATCCTAAGATTATTTTCAGAGTAATCCTTTTCAATATGAGAGTTTCCACTTCCAGGGAAAATGCAACTGGGGATTCAGCCCTTGTGTGGGGTTTATTTACTTTAGGAAGCTCAGGACACAGATGTACCTAGAAGGAATGTATCCACCTGGTGAATATAAGTATGGCATTCTGTTGATTGATACGCTTTTTTATTACCTGTTGATAATTTTTCAGCCAGACAGCCACCATCCTTTCTGCCTCTGTGTTTTCCTCAGGAAGACAAAAAGGATCTCTAGAAAGATCTTGGAGAAAAAAAAAAAGAATACTTAGAATGCAGCATGACCGGAATCACCCACGTGAAAAATCATTCCATCCTAGTTTGAGATTCCCATATATCCCTGCACACTCAAGAAATCTCACATAAATACACACTCTACTGGATAAAATATCAGAGTAGCCCTGCCTCACCTGGAGCCATAAAAGGGACGTGTTAGACATACTGCCCATGAGGAAAGGGGTCATCATCTTATTTTACAGGTATGGAAACCTAATCCCTGGGAAATCCGATTCTTTATTTGCCCAAGATAATAAAACTCATCAATGGGATTATGCAGCACCAAGTCCCAAAGCACACACACCAGGAAGCTGACCTAGATAACAGCATTCTCTGGCATATTTCAGCTCTAAGTGAACCAGCAGCCTGACTGCTTAGGCCCTATATTGTGTAGGGGTGACCTTTAAGAATCCTCTGAAAATGAGAATCAACAATGAATTACCGTGGGTCAGATCAATGGCTGCCATCCTGGGAGAGTGATGAAATTTGCCTGATGAGAAATTTGATGCCAAGATCAGTTCAGTGCAACTTAAGAATCTAAGTAAATATGGCAATCTTCATTACTTTTGACAGTGTTACCCAGAGTACTTTTCCTATCAATCATTAATCAGCAAGCGTTACTAATCCATTATCAAACATCATACATTAGCTCTCTCTCTGTAGATGATATATGGGAAATTCACTAAAAATGTTATAACCTTTGGCATGAAAGTCAGTCATAACTATTACCACTTCCTGACGATAGATACATGACAGATGTCTGTCTCACTAGGAGCTGTACGTATATCAGCTCACCTAATTATCATAACAACCCTTACAATGGGTATCATTAGCCCTATTTAATAGCTGATAAAGCTAGATTTTTACTAATCATTGGTCCAGTACCATCCAATTAAGGAAAAAAGAGATCCACAATTGAATGCAGATAGGCTTCTCTCAAATGTTTGAGATCCTGAGGTTCTTATTCCCAAATATGATCAGACGTCATTCTAGACCTGCACTGTCCATTTTGGTAGCCAGAAGCCACATATGCTATTGAGTACTTGATATGCAGTTAGTAAAACAGGATTTTAGATTTTATTTATTTTTAATTAAATTTTAAATTTAAAACTTTTTGCAAATTTACTTATTAGAAAACTTAAATGTTTGCGTAAGCTTAAATATATCTATTTTCTCAACTCTATTACATGATTCAAACGCATAAAATACATCTGATGAAAATTTTGTGTCCAATGAATTCTGAATTCATGAGAAGAATTTAAAATACCTCAATTTTTATTTTTATTTTTTTTTTATTTATTTATTTTAAAGATTTTATTTATTTTTTAGAGAACGAGCGAGAAACAGCATGAGAGGGGCGAGGGTCAGAGGGAGAAACAGGCTCCCCGCTGAGCCGGGAGCCCGATGTGGGACTCGATCCCAGGACCCTGGGATCATGACCTGAGCCGAAAGCAGACGCTTAACCATCTGAGCCACCCAGGCGCCCTAAAATACCTCAATTTTTATATGGGTTACATACTGAAATACTTATATGATTTCCTTGTTTTTTGTTTATTACAGTTACAGAAAAGCTTTAATCATATACTTGGCCTACACATTATATTTCCATTGGCCAGCACTGGCCTACAATACTGCTGGATATTATGAAGAGGAGAAAAATGAAGTGTTTAATTTGGTTAACACCCTTGAGCTTCACTTCATGGAGCTTCGAGTGGCTTGGAGCCCTGTGCCTCCTTTTAATTTATCATAACAGGCTTATTCTTTTGTCCTTTCCACAAATAATTAAGAAATTGTGGTCCTGTGCTAGGCACTATGCAGAAAACAGTGATATATACAGAAAACGTCCCAGGGCTTAATGGCCCAACATTCCAAAGGGACAAGATATTCAATTATTAATGAACACCTCTGTTTATCAGTGCTTATGGAGCAAAAAATCAAATAGGTGAGAAAATAGAGTATCCTATATACAAACACAAATATTGTGGTTTGCTTCTTGGGTAATGTAATGACAGAAAAAGGAAAATAACCATAGGCTGTTCTAAATAGGACCCAAAATTTTAAGAAAAATAATGCTGGAAGGATTTTACAAAACTCAGAAGACTCTTTAAGTACTCAACAGCCTCAGGAGGGTCTTGATTGAGGCTCAGAGCAATCAAGGTTTGCCCACTGCCCCTTGCCCTGGCAAAGGAGCAATGCCAAATCACTGTCCTTTACAATGATCTATTTTAGGAGTCTTTCCACAGAACTTCCTTTTCATATTACCACTTCTGTTTTTCACCAAGTTTTTATTTTATTTTTATTCCTTTCTTAATAAGGCTTCCTTCTTATTTTAATCTTTTAACCTGATACAGTCTAAAGGACAACTCCTATGTTGAAAATTATTGACTCGGGTGCCTGGGTGGCTCAGTTGGTTAAGCGACTGCCTTCGGCTCAGGTCATGATCCCAGGGTCCTGGGATCGAGTCCCACATCAGGCTCCCTCTCAGCGGGGAGCCTGCTTCTCTCTCTGCCTGCCACTCCCCCTGCTTGTGCTCTTTCTCTCTGTTAAATAAAGAAAATCTTAAAAAAAAAAAAAAGAATTATTGACTCTCTTTAATAAATTGAACAGAGAACAGCAGCCCAAATGCTGATCTACAGAATGGTATCCAAATGATGACAAATGCTGGAAGTTCCAGTTTCGTTACCATAAGCCAAATTAACCCTCACAACACAAGATACTTCATTCTACAGATGAAAAGTGCTATGCAATGAAATGCGCAGATCTTAAGTATTCTGAGGATGAGCTTTGACAAATTTACCCATATAATGAGCAGTTCAAGGAAGACAGAGAATATATTCATCTCTCCAAAAAGCCTTCACCCTTCTGGTTCATTCCCTCACCCTCATTCCAGACGATCATTATCTGATTTCTGTCAATTACTAGATTTGTTGTTAAGCAGTACGCACATCATTTATAAATCTATATCCTGACAATTTTCTCTTGTTTAGAGAAACAATAAGGGAGAAACAGTCTTAAAACTCCCGAGGAAGTGCAGAAATGTCCATTTCTTCTTGTATTTCTGTCAAGCATTGGTTTATATTTCGTGCAACAATATTGTGGGGGTACATACAAACTTTGAAACTGTATAATCTTGGAGATATTGAATCTTCTATTGTAAACTGTTCTATCTCCAGTAATGCTTTATATGACAATGTTGTCTGACATAAGGAGAAGGATTTTACAAAACTCAGAAGCCTTTCTTTTGGAGAGCTCTTTGGAATGTAAGTGTGTGGGGATCTCAGTCTTCTGAGCACTCACCCACCAGCCAGGAATGTCTGCAAACTGAATACCTATTTCCCATGGATACCTGATGTGTCTGCCCACCAGACATGGCTTGGCTGCAATCGAGAGATTTTCAAATGTTTGTCCAATGCCTGCTGACTACCTCTGCTGCAGGACACCCAGCCAACTTCTTTACAATCAATAGACTGCAATGATACCTTGCAAATAAGATACGACCCAATCTTGGGGAGAAGACATCCCTATAAATCTGACCTTCCTTATTACTGTTCAACTCTAGGATCTAACAGAGTGCTCTTTACATCTTTATGTTACTCTTCCCATGTATATCAAGAAATCAAGGAGTGATTTTTGTCTTCTGATTAGACCCAGACTTATACAGAATTGAAACAGACAGTGATTGCAGGAAATACACATGTAAAGATGAGATCTGGGGGTTGATTTCATCAAGTCTTTGGTCTGGAGCAAGACGCTGAGCTCCTTGAAAGACACTCAGCTGCATTATGAAAATCAAGCTCTGACCTATGGCTCACTCTGAAGATGTACACAGAAGCACTTGCCTTGGGAATCCAAGTGAATGCTGTTACCCCAGTAATGATGACTACAAAGATTGTGGTGAGAGATAGATTCTTTTTTTTTTTAAGATTTTATGTATTTGACAGAGAGAGACACAGCGAGAGAAGGAACACAAGCAGGGGGAGTGGGAGAGAGAGAAGCAGGCTTCCCGCTGAGCAGGGAGCCCGATGTGGGGCTTGATCCCAGGACCCTGGGATCATGACCTGAGCCAAAAGCAGATGCTTAACGACTGAACCACCCAGGCGCCCCGAGACATTGATTCTTATGACTAGAGTTGCACAGAAAAGGCCTGCTCAGATTTACTAAGACAAGCTCAAACCAAGGTCTGATAACCACAAAGCCTCAAGACAGCTCTTAAAAAGGACATTTCTTGTGGCCACAGGACTGACACAGTTGAAAATCAAACACGAAATTTAATTGCACAGGTAAAATTACAACCACAATTAGAGTGTCTACATCAACTAGTTGTTCATGTGAAAATTAGGGCACTGATACGGGAAGAATGAGAACTTGAAAACGAATGGGGATATGAGTCAGACAAAGATGAAACTTACAATCTTGAATCCACAAGATACTAACTCTCCCTTATCAGAAGTCTCCTGCCCTTTGGTTTCTGAAATGAGCCTTTCTCTGCTTAAAAGTACTGAGGAAATCTCACCTGGGGCAGAAGTCTTAGAAGGAAATGCTCCTTCTCTTCAAGATCCACCCAAACCACTGCCCCTAGTGACAATGAATTCACAGTCATGGGGAACAGGGATACAACACAGTGCAAGATAAAATAGCCTGTACAACAAAATAGTTCCAACTAGGATAATATATAGAAGAAACCTGAGTACCCTGTGGGGGAATAAAGTGTAAGCATGCCAGACCCATAAGGTTGGAATATAACAATAAACTGGGCCAAATTCATTGACATGGGGGCACTTATTAGACAGTCTGGGTTTAATATATACTATCTCATGGACCCAGGGAAAGCTCTAATAGCTTACTTGCTTGGCTGATACCAGAGACTCATGGTGACCTACAGTAATGAGTTCACATGCCAGAACTTCCACAACAAAATGTGAAGGAGCAAATCCTAGGGAGATAGCAATGTAGCACTGGATTTATCCTGTGTGATATACAGCCCCATTCCCCATTCTATGTTGAGGGAACAGAAGATTCTCCACAAAGGTATGGAGAAACGGTAAGTGGACGGCCTCCATCCTAGAGGCCTCTGTGGTTATTCTCCATGACAGGTGAGGTATGACTGTAGGGGCTATACCATCACTGAGATAAACTCCCCGATTTCACTGGGGATGATGAGAAGCCAGAGTAGCAGAAATCAAGGAGGCGGCACTTAGTTGCCGAAGACAAAGAGGGCACATGAACCACGAAGAGCAGTGGGAATGAAACAGGAATCAGAGTGCTTTGGCCTGCAGAGACCTCTCGTGGTGGCTAACTGATCCCAGCCTAATTGGTCCCTTGCAATGAAAGAGATATGCAGCCTATTACAGCAGAGGTCAACAAACCTGCACTAACAGTCCATACAGTACTTTTTAGGCAGAGCAGGCCAAATAGTCTCTGTGCTATACATACTCAAGTCTGTCACTGTGGTTTCAAAGAAGCCATAGAAAATATGTAAACCAATGAATATGGTTAGGTTTGTCTAAAACTATTTACAAAAACAGGTGGAGAGCCAGATTTGGCCCAGGGTCCAGTTTGCCAACTTATGTACTAGAATTTTATTTGATGTCTGTAACAAGTAGTTTCAAGTACAGTAACCAAAACTCTGATTTGACTGACCACAGTGGAAAGTCACAGCCCCCTACCCAACTTCCAAACATAGACCATATCACAAACTAAGAACTCCTTCATACCATCACCACTGTTCATACTATAAACCTTCCTACAGACTCTTCATAAGGGGATGTACAGTCATTTACAAGTGACTATGCATGGGGGAAAAGGAAATACTCAGACAGTCTCTAAGAGGACACTAACTAATTCCTGAGGATCCAAAATATCATTGTGGCACACCACCAAAGTGGAGGCTTATGGTAGTCAGGTGATTTTTTAAAAAGTCTTAACTTCAATGAACTCAGACTGGACCAGCTGCAGCAAGCACCCACCCTATATTTATTTCCTTCCCCAAAACCTAAATATATAATTGGATTTTTTGGCAACTGGCAGAATTTCCTTATCTCTGACCCACAGGGTAAGGACCATTATGGTAGGAAAAGCTAAAAGGAGGATCCTGGAATTCCCCACCACTGGACAAAATAATCCAGAAACAATACCAACACCGCAGGGGGAAATGCAAGGTTTAATGCTTCAAAAGATTAGCTGCATCTATACCCTTCCCGTTTTCATTAATATACAAGTCATTACAGGATAACATTACAATTTAGTCTTTAGGTAACTGATTTTCGTGAGATTGTAACTAAATTTGAGCAGTAGTTACTATAGACTGTGAGGGAGACAAAATGACTTGATGTACATTTATAACTCCTTTATGCAGCATAATATGGAGTACATATCACCCACAAGATAGTATGTGAAAGATCTTTTGTAGTCTCTGGACCTGAAGCTGGCAAACTATAAATCACAGGGCTGTTTTTGTAAATCAAATTTTATTGGAGCAAAGCCATATCCATTTATTTACTAAGGTCTATGGTTTCTTGTGCACTACAAAAGCAGAGCTGAGTAATTCCAGGCCTTATGGCCAACAAATCATAATGCAGTCACTGAAAGAGGACTGCAACTACCTCCATTTTGACCTCAAACTTTGTAATTGATTAAGGTCTTCTTTCCAGCTCATCTCTTAATTCAGACAAAAATCCAAAAGGGCAAAGCATCTCTGATGGGAACTGAAACTTCCTGCTCAAGCTTTAAGGACTACCCTGGGCCAGCAAGACCCCATGTGATTGATTCCAAGGCAATAACTGACCTGATCTTTGCTCACCTGCAAGTACGCACTGACTTCTGTCCCACATGTTCCTTATAAAAAACGAAGTATTTTCAGAACTTCGGCAACCATCTTTGAGATACTAGTTCGCTCTCTTTCTGGTATTGGCCTCACTGACATATATTTCTATCTTGTTTCACCACCACTCGTTTCTCTGCCTTTGATTTTGTCAGTGACCAGTGGCCGAACCTGGTCTGTTTTAGAACCCCAGAGATGGGTGCTCTTGCATCCCTGAGCCCCAGCTACATTACTACCTTGACCTTTTCTAACAAAAGTCTACCAACCTCTGTACCGGACCCAATTACCATATTACAAAATTACAAGATAAAGAAAACATTTAAACACATCATGGAAATAAAATCACAAATATCAAAAGTATGTGTTTCTCAAAGAGCATGTGACTCTTCCAAGTCTGTATTATGAAGAAACAACAGCTCTGCTTTAGCTTAAAAGAAACTAAGAGACATAAACATATACATTGTCATATATAAACCCTAACCAAGTCCTACATCCAAAAACATTCAAAAACATATTTTGAAACAATGTATAGGATTTTAGTTTTTACAGAGCAGGTATTAGATAACATTTTTAATTTTCTTGGGTGAAATCAATGTATTATCGTTTTAGTAGCAAAATGGTCCTTATCTTTAGGAAATACATTACCAAGTATTTAAAGGTCAAGTATCATGCCTGCAATTTATTTCCTTTTTACTCTCACAAGTATCATGCCTGCAATTTATTTCCTTTTTACTCTCAAACAGTACACTAAAAAATGCATTTCTCTATCCAGAAAGAGCAACCATGCAAAATGCGAAAACGGGTGAATTTACTTCGACGCACATTCATAGCAGTAGTATTTACATCTCCTTTAGGTTTAAGATCTTACGAAACAAAAATGTCGGGAAAATACACTTAATCCAAACGTCCTGTAATTGTGAAATTCAATTATTCTACAAGTGGGGTAATAAAGCCTCCATTCTTCTCTCCAAGAGTCCCCTGGTTTGAAACCTGGTGGGGATGGACGGGTTCAGGAGGGAAGGATGTTAAGGTAGGTGAAAACTTTCCCTTTAGTACAGAGACTTGCGGTGTACGTGTGTATAACTAGCTCCTGAAATATGCACACTGCAGACATCCGACAAAGCACATTAGCTTCCTACTAAGATACAGTGTGTCCAAAACAAAGACCAGCGTGACAAAGCCACATTCTCAGCCGAAACATTCTCTTCCACACGAAAAGGAAACAGGCCCTTGTGAACCAACTTTCCCAAAACTCACCAGTCAGGTCCCCGAAAAAGCGAGGACGCGGGGCGGACTCTGGGTCACTCCCAACAGCTGAAATTCTTTTCCTTGTGGAGAAAAGTCACAAAGGTTGCTTGCACAGCGGATACAAAGACCCCACGGAAGCGCCCTGACAGCAGGTCCACAGCGGCTCCGGGCGGGAACCGCCGGCCCCCGCGACCTCTCGGGCGATCTAGGCGGATGCGAACCGAGCGACCCGGCCCCTCAGCAGGCCCATCGGCGACCCTGACTAAACCCGTCCCTGGATTCCCTCCTCTTTCCCTCCCCTTCACGCCGCCCTCACCACAGCCGGCCCACGGACGACCTCTACCATCCCGACGCGCTGAACGCGGCACAGAAGAGGCAGCGGAAGAGACCCCGGCGGGCGTGTGACGCCACTTCCGCTTCCTGCCGGGGCTCGAGGGGCGGGGCTTCCACTTCAGACCGCCCAGCTGTTGTTCCCTCCCTCACCGGCTTGGGGTGGGCGGCTGGGCTGGGCGCTTGGTCTGAGGCCAGGATGCGGCCCGGAGGACACGGCTGGGGCTGGAACCAGGTATGTGGGCGCGACTACCCGCGGAGAGCGCGACCCGTGCGCGGGGGCGGCCCGGCGTGGCGTGGGGCGAAGCCCAGCTCCAGTTTGGGCGGTGGGAGGACCCCCTGGACAAACCCCACAGCCTGCTCAGTGAAAGGTTTCCTGCCTCCCTCCCCGCACGTCCTAGAGAGCCTTTACAGTCGTCCCATATCGATAAGCCCGAGAATCCAGTTTTTAGGATCCCGTTTTTAGGCCTTTATCTTGGGTGTTATTGGGTGGCCTTTTTGCAGTAAATAAAGATCTTTTTAAACACGATTGGGTATCCCATCTATTCAAGACTTAGGGGAGGGGAGTGAGAGGGCAATGGACGAAATATGTGAAGGGGATTAAGAGGTACAGTCTTCCAGTTATAAAATAATTAAGACAGGGGATGTAATGTACCCACATATGGAATATAGTCAATGTAACATTTCACCATTCTTTGTATGGTGACAGCTGTTAACTAGTCTTACTGTGGTGACCATTTCATGACGTGTATATATGCCAAATCACTGTGTACCCCTGAAACTAATCAAATACTGTATGTCAGTTGTTCATCAATAAAAAGAAACGTGTTGGGCGGGCGCCTGGATGGCTCAATTGGTTAAGCGACTGCCTTCGGCTCAGGTCATGATCCTGGAGTCCCTGAATCGAGTCCCGGATCGGGCTCCCTGCTCGGCGGGGAGTCTGCTTCTCCCTCTGGCCCTCCCCCCTCTCATGTGCTCTCTCTCATTCTCTCTCTCTCAAATAAATAAAT